CTGAGGCAAGAGAATCACTTAAGCCCAGGAGTTGGAGGTTGCTATGAGCTGTGATGCCACAGCACTCTACCCAGGGTGACAGCTTGAGGCTCTGTCTTAAACAAAAACAACCTTTCCTCAATTTTGCTATGTTTTCAATTGCTACTCTGCTATGTTTTAAATTATGTTGCATTTGTTTCTTAGTCATCATCCTTGATCAGCTGGCAGTGTTTGAGCAGACCCAGCCTTCATCATGCCATGGTTTTCCAGGTTTATAACTGTACAACCACCTTTAAATCCCATTAGAACTTCACTCTCACATCTAGTCATATGCCAATAACAGTAAATTCAACATCTTTCCTGTCCCAATATTGATATCACCTCCCTGGTTCATTCAGGCACTTATGACCTCTCATCTTTTTAAGTTTATTTAATTTCAATTGACAACAATAATTGTACATATTAATGAGATACAATGTGATGTTTGCATACATGTATACACTGTATAGTGATGGAATCAGGGTAATTAGCATATCTATCACTTCAAATATTTATATCTTTGTGATGAAAGATGAAAGCATTCAAAATCCTTTCTTCTAGCTATCTTGACATATGCAATGCATGATTAACTACAGTCATCTTACTGTGCAGTAGGACATAAGAACTTATTCCTCCTGTCTGTGACTATATACCTTTGACAACCTCTCCCCCTACCCTTCCCGGCCTCTGGTAACCACTATTCTGCTTTCTGTTTTTAGGTTTTACATCTGAGTGAGATCATATAGTAATTGTCTTTATGTGTTCTTCACATAATTTCCTCTAGGTTCATCCATGCTAAAATGACAGGATTTCGCTCTTTGTTATAGTCAAATAGAATTCCATTGTGTATATATGCCACATTTTGTTTATCCACACATATGCTGTTGAACACCTAGGCTGATTCCATATCGTGGCTATTGTGAACAGTGCTGCAATAAACATGGGAGTGCAGATATCTCTTTGGCATATTGATTTCATTTCCTTTGTATATATACCCATAGTGGGAATTGTTGGATCATCTGTTAGTTCCATTTTTAATTTTTGATGACCCTCCATACTGTTTCCCATAATGGTTGTACTCAACTCTTGTCTTAATTCCTACAGAAGCTCCTTAATTGGTCTCCTTGATTTCCATCTCTACAGGTGCATATCTTACACCTTTGCCACATGGAGTCATTTATTCAAGAAATATTTATTGAGAACTAACTACATGCCAGACTTTGTTCTAAACACTGGGATATAGTAGTTAATAAATCAGACATAATCATCTCCTATTATTCAAGTAGGAGTAAAGACAACAATAAAATAAATTGGTAAAACATGGACATTTGATTGTCATAAGTGCTATTTAAAAAAGTAAAGCAAAGAATGCAGGGAGTCCTGGGATGTGGCTGTAATTTTACACTGGAACTCAGCATAAAGTTGGTATTTATGTAAAGACCTGAAGGAGGAGGGGGAGTATGCCATGCAAATATTTGAGAGAAGAGCATATTCCTAAGAGAGGCAAGCCATGAAATCCAACTCTATGTTACTCCTTTGTAAAAACCTAAATGGTTTTCCTTGCCCATGGAATGAGTTAAAATCTCCTCGTAGTCAAGACCATCCACAGTGTGATCCAAGCCCTGGCTACCTTTACTCTTGTCATTCTTCCTCTTCAGATACACACTTAACCAAACTGAACCATTTATTTGGTAAAACAGCACAGACATAATTGGAGTACTCAGCCTAATTTCTGACTCTTGAAATTCTACTTTTTCCCCCAAAGCCCATATCAAATACCACTTCTCCTTTTCTGCTCCCAAATGGTCTTTAACTGTTTAAGCCCTCATTGTACTTGTCTACTTGTGTCTCTCTCTCCTGGCACTTATTCCCTATGGTAGTGTTATTTGCATTTGGGGACTTGTTTCTGTCATGTCACTGTCTCTTTAAGGTCTACAGGCTCAGTGAAACATGTTACAGCCCAACTTCTGTGATTCTCTTGGTTTAAATTACTAGAGTAGACAGAACTTGGTCCATCTGACAAACATTATACACTATCTCCCTTTGGGGATGCAGTATAATAGTGTCATTGAGGCCTTGGGCTCCCACTCTGGGTCTACCACTTCCTAGCAGCAGAATTTGAAAGCTAACTACTTTTCTATGATGTAATGAGATTATCATCAACTCCTACTTCATAGGGAAATTGTAAGGATGAAACAAGATCATGCTTTTAAGGTGCCGTGCACAGTGCCTCCTCAGCACTCATGAAGGATATCTAAGCTTATTGCTGCCATCATCTTCATCGTCATCATTACTGTTACCATCACCAACTCCATCCCAAGGTGGAGTTCACAGATCTGAAGAAAGCACCAAACCTTGAAAGGCGCCCTCTGCTGCCTCAAAGCTTCTGTAACAAATGATAATAAGCTTAAACTAGAAAGCACAGAGGGAGTGACGTTAGGCACGGCTAGAGTTCCAGGGGTTGGGGAGCAGAGGCTGGTCTCATCAATTTAGTACATAATTATTGGGTGTCTTCTATGAGCCAAGGGTTGTGTTGGGCATTAAGAAATCTGGTTACTTCTCAACATCGAATAACTACCTACCTAAAAGGAAAGTCTAACTGTCCCCAAACACAATCTTACAGATTTCTCACACTGACTTTCGGTAAATACATTTAACAAAAAGCTTTTTTCTTTTACTGCTACATGATTTTATTTTTGTTAACTTTTAATGAAAACGTTTAAACAGGAATGTAAGAATAATGGCATACTACCACCTTTACTATACATCGCCCAGATTTTACAAATTGTTGGCATGTTTGCCAAATTTACTTCAATCTTTTTTTCCTTAAGTAAAATTAAATTACAGACATCATAGCATCTTTTCCCAAAACAGTTTAGTCTGCATTTCTAAAAAGTAAGGACAGTTTTAGAAAAAAATCACATCGCCTACCAAAATAAATAAGTTTAGTGTAACCAATCCATATTCAATCTTTCTGAACTGATACAAAAATGCCTTTTATATATAGTTCCTTTATGTCTTCTAAGTCTCTTTCAATCTAGCACAGTGTGCGCATACACTCCTTTTATTGATGGCAAGAATCTATTAATGAACTATCGCATATTTTGTATGTGACTGCTTCTTCGCCGTGTGGAAGAATCGTTTTTAACTCTCCATCCCAGACAGTGGGTAGCAGCTCCTCCCGGTAAAAGGCTCGTTGCTCACCTTTCATAACTTGTAGGAGCAGATCAATCCCTTCTTGGTAACATATCAGAGCCTGCGGATACTTGTACTCGGCATCTAGTTTCACCGCCCGCTGTAGCATAGTGACTGCGTTAGCGCTCTCGGGATCCTGCCCCAGGCCGGACTTCGCCATAATTCCGGGAATACCTTCCCGAAACCCAGCTGAAGTTGGGCGGGTCTGCGTGGGGTCACGTGTGACAGCCGCGCGCCTGCGCCGTCTTTGTACGGCCGCCTTCTGTGGAAGAGGCTTCGCCGGAACCAAAATGTCCCAGTTCGCAGGTCGCGACCCCTGAGACGGCAGAGTTTGAATGTTGCACTTCCCCTTGGTGGCAAAATTCAGGTTGAGCGTTTGGTGGGCGCTGGTGAGTGGAGACTGAGTGGCCGAAAGTATTGGACATTAAGCTAGGGGTATGTATCTGGGAACCCTCTGCAGATGCTGATTGATTTTGCCTATTTGGTTCTAAATTGGCAAGTTGAAAGCGACCTAATTGGGTGTCTCCCCGGTCCCATCGTATTGGTTCCAAAAAGCCATTAGCTGGCTGGAGCCTGTTTGCCAAGTGTAAGGATCCAGGGCTGCGCGACTTGTCGAGCCGCGACTCTTGGAGCTCTGGGAGCCGCCGAGACTAGACGGCATGGGAAAAGGAAATTATAGTTTGTTTTAGCATTTTCTGTGCTTCTGAGTAGTTCATAATTTAGGATTCCCAATGGGGATTAGTGTTACTTAATTTTTTAAAATGCCGACACAAATTTGCCGTATTTTAAAATTGCTACATGTTAGAATGCAAACCGTCTGGAGTTGGCAACTACAATATTTGCCAATTTACTGAAAACTGTAATTTTGCAACCAGGTTTTGGTCGCCACTCACTCAAAACTGCTTGTTCTGCCTTTTTTGCCAGGAGGCATTTGTGAGGGCTGCCTACTACTTCTTAGGCACTAGGAGTTGAGAAAAGAGACTCAATTTTTGGCTTTCAGAGATCTGTTTATTGCAAGGGAAAATTCTGTGGTCTGCATTTTTAGTAGTGTTTTCACCTCTTTTTAAATTAGATACATTTGTCTCTTTAGGGGGAAAAGCTTTTTAAAAGAACTGTTGCATGCATACACATTGTGAAAAGACACAAGAAACCTACGAGACTTTAAGTGAGGGTGTGGGCGTGGGCGAAGAGGAAAACACTTGTCCTGGAAGCCTGCTTACTCTCTAGGGGTATGTTAACGTTTTTCTGACGTGACATCCTTCTAGAGTTTTTCTTTTTATACATAAACATTCACAGACATTTTAAAAAAGAAAAATAGGATGAAACCTGCTATTTTTCTATTTTTGCAGCTGTGCAGGAGAAAAGCTGTCATATGATAGGAGTCAGTATAATTGTTTCAAGATCCTAGAGTTATGTACTTAATTATTAAGAAAAACGTTTATTTTGTATATTTGTTTATTTTTGGAGACAGAATCTCACTCTCACTCTGGGGTTGAATGCCATAGTGTCATCATAGCTCACAGCAACTTCAAACTCTTGGGCTCAAGTAATCCTGCTTCAACTTTTATAGTAGACTCAGGCACTCACCCAAACGCCCTACTAATTAGAGACAGGATCTCATTCTTGCACAGAGTTGTCTGAAACTCCTGAGGTCAAGCCATCCACGCATCTCAGCCTCCCAAAGTGCTAGAATTACAGGTGTGAGCCACCCTGCTTGGTTCTAAGAATAACTTCTACTTTATTAACACTGTTGAGTTGGAAACATTAGTGCTCCCTGTAATCCAGAGACTGAGGTAGGAATATTACTTGAGTCCAGGAGTTGAATGCCAGTGGCATGCCTGGGAAACATAGACCTTCTTTCTAAAAACATAACTTTTACCTGTCACACCTTCTTGAAGTCTATAAATTAAACTTCATTCACTCAGCAAAAGTGTTTTGGGTCCTACTGTGAGGCACATGCTGCTGTAGGTCGATAGTTGAGATACAACTGTGAATTTAAGAATTCTTTTTTTTTCTGAGAGTCTCATTATGTTGCCCTCGGTAGAGTGCCGTGGCTTCCCAGCTCCCAGCAAACTCGAACTCTTGGGCATAAGTGATTCTCTTGCTTCAGCCTCCCAAGTAGCTGGGACTACAAGCCCTGTCCACAATACCCGCCTATTTTTTGGTTGTAGCTGTCATTGTTGTTTCGCAGGCTGGGGCTGGATGCAAACCTGCCAGCCTCAGTGTATGTGGCTGGTGTCCTAGCTGCTGAGCTACGGGTTCTGAGACGAATTTAGGAATTCTTAATTCTTAAAGAATTAAAAAATTCTTTTCCTATGGAACTAATATGCCATATGTGTATGGAAAGACAATCAAGTGGATTAAGAGGCCTTGGAAGTGCTGGCAATTATAATGTGGATGAAAATGTTAAATAACATGATCAGGGTAGACCTCATTGAGATGAGATTTGAGCCAAAAATTGAAAAAGGTAAGGGAATTAGTCATGCGACTATCAGGAGTATTCCAGGAGAGGAAATAGCCTGTCAAAGGGAGTGCTTGGCCAGCAAGGGGGAACATGTTGTCTAGTGATTGGTCAAGACAATATAATTGGAGATGGAATGGAAAGGCATTGGACGTTTTTAATTTTTTTCATAAATGAACTTCATTTTTGAATAATTCTAGATTTCTGGAATACTTGTGAAGATAGTACAGAGTGGCTATATATGTTACCCCCAGTTTCCCCCCTGTTCAACATCATATACGGTACATTTGTCACAACTGAACTAATATCAATAAATTGTTCATTAAAGCCCTTTATTCAGATTTCCTTAGTTTTTGCCTACTTTTCTTTTACTATTCTAGGATCTGATCCATGAGGCTACATTACATTTAATGGTCATGTTCCCCTTAGGCAAGTTCCTCTTGACTGTGATGATGACAGTTCCTCAGCCTTTCCTTATTTTAGGCAGTTGACAGTTTTGAGGCAGGTAGGTATCTGAGAAAGTACTGGTCAAGTATATTGTGCAGTATCTTCCAATTGCAGTTTGTCTGATGTTTTTCTCTTAGAGTGGGATGGGTTTTTGGGTGGAAGACCATACAGTGATGTGCCATTCTCATCCCATCATATTGAGGGTACATGCTGTCAGTTTGACTTTTGGTGTTAATTAACATTGGTCACCTGGCTGAGGTAGCATTTGCCAAGTTTCTCTAATGTAAAATTATTTTTCCCTTTTTCTAAATTGTACACTTTGGGAGCAAGTCATCAAGCATAGCCCACACTTGCGGGATTAGTAGTTTTGCTTCACTTTCTTTTTTGTTTTTTGGTTTTTTTGAGACAGCGTCTGTTGCTTAGGCTTACAATGTCCCAGTGTCAGCCTAGCTCACAGCAACCTTAAACTCTTGAATTCAAGCATCCTCTTGTCTCACCTTCCTGAGTAACTGGGATTATAGGTGCATACCACAATACCCAGCTAATTTTTCTATTTTTAATATTAGAGATGGGGTCCTGCTCTTGTTCAGGCTGTTCTTAAATTTCTGAGGTCAAGCAATCCTCCTGCCTCCCAGAGTGTTAGGATTACAGGTATGTGCCACCCCACCCAGCCACTGTCTTATTTATTTATTTATTTTAGAGACAGCCTTGCTATATTGCTCAGGCTGGTCTTGAACTCCTGGCATCAAGCTATCCTCTCCCCTCAGTTTCCCAAATACTTGGGATTACTGGGTGCAAACCACCATACCCAGCATTTCCACCTTCTTAAGGAGACAATATCTACATAAATTATTTTGAATCCTTCTGTATGGAATATTTACTTCTTTGCTCTCATTAATTTATTCACATATGTCAGTATGGATTTGTGGTTATTCTTTGGGTTATAAACCAATACTTAATTATGTATTTTCTTACTCAAATTGTTCCACCTTTGGCCATTGTGGAAGCTCTTTCATTGGCTCCTGTGTCCCTTTGAAATACGCCCATTATTTTGTAGCCTTTTCAGCACTAAAGGATGCTATAGACATGATCAGCAATTTCTCCAAGAAGCCCTGGTTCTTTTCATTGGAGAATGCTATTAGAAACCAAGATCTGGGGCACAGTGGCTCAGACCTGTAATCCTAGCACTCTGGGAGGCTGAGGTGGGTGGATTGCCAGAGCTCACAGATTTGAGATCAGCCTGAGCCAGAGCAAGACCTGATCTCTAAAAATAGCCAGACATTGTGGTGGATGCCTGTAGTCCTAGTTACTTGGGAAGCTGAGGCAAGAGAATCACTTGAGTCCAAGAGTTGGAGGTTGCTGTGACCTATGACACTATGGCACTCTACTGAGGGTGACAAAGTGAGATTCTGTCTCCAAAAAAAAACAAAAGAAACCAAGATCTGGGTGCTGGGTGTGTTCATTGCTACTAGGTTTAATTGCTTTTATATCCTCTTAGCCAGTGGCTAACCTATGTATACATACACATTTTATCTCCATATCTATATTAAGCTAAATATGTTCCAACTCTAATCTGGTATACATGGATCATTCTAGCCTTTGCCTCTTGTTTATGTATATCCTGCTCCAGCAATGAGAAACCTGGCTCTTTGCAAGATTTTGAGCAGAGTAATGTTATCTAATACAGGATTTAATAAGACGACTTGCTGCTCATAAGGAAAAAAGATGTTAGAAGAATTGAAATGGAAGCCAAATCTATGGCCATAGCTCACTGAACACACCAAGTCATCTCTGCAGTGGAAGCCAATTAAGGAGGCTTTGTTGAAATCTAAGTTATAAGGCAAAGATTTTTAAAAGTGTGAGGCTCAACTGGCTAAGGCGCCAGCCACATACACCTAAGGTGGTGGGTTCGAATTCAGCCCGGACCCGCCAAACAACAACAGCTGCAACCAAAAAATAGCCGGGCGTTGTGGCAGGCGCCTATGGTTCCAGCTACTTGGGAGGCTGAGGCAGGAGACTCGCTTGAGCCCAGGAGTTGGAGGTTGCTGTGAGCTGTAATGCCACAGCACTCTACTGAGGGGGACAGCTTGAGGCTCTGTCTCAAAAAAAAAAAAGTGTAAGGTTAAATGAGTTGGATTAGTATTTAATGCTTAATTTGGGAGGAAAAAGTATGGTAAAATAATTGAGCATTAGGTTGGCTCAGTTCCTAAGGAATTTCTCTGAGTTCTGCTCCTTTTCAGGTGACATCTTACATTGATGCCCACAACTCTATGCTTTGTCCACCTCACAGGACTGAGTGAGCTAGAATCAGGTGGATTATGTCTGAGTGAGCTAGAATCAGGTGGACAATGAAATACAGCACATACTCTATTTTCGTTTGTTAGAGTATTCGTATTAGCTTTGTAATAATCTCACAATTTCACAATAATAAAATTTACCATTTATTGAGGGTTTCAGGGTGCCAGGTATTGTTTTAGGTGCTTTATAGTTTATAGAATAACTCATTTACAATATAAGTATTATTTTCTTTCTTTTCTGGGGGAAAAATTAAAACACAAATTAAGTAGCTTGTGCAAAATATGCATTTGGTTCATGAGCCTAATATTTCTGCTCTTGGTATAAGTTTGTATTAAGGGCTCTGGTAGTTCTGTGTTACTAAATAAACATAACCTTTTTAGGTTATATAAGCAGTGCATGTACATTAAGAATAGTTTAAAAATACGAATAAGCAAAAGTTCAAGTTTTCTTTTGGGTTCCAGACCACATAATTTAACTTGCTGCTTAGTTTTTTAATATTAGAGAAGGTGGACCTGTTCATATCCAAGATACATTTGACTGACAGGTCTGTTTTCTACTTCCCGCAGCCTCTAAAGAGAATAATCATCACACTTATGGCAGGGATTTTGTGTACAGTAGTTCAGAGGCCATTAGGCAGACTACAGGTAAGTGTTTCTTTTCAAGAATTATTCTTTTTCTATCTACTCTTCATGAATGTTTTTCTAATTACAAAAACAAACCTTTATAGGCAATTAAATTATTGTATAAATTACTACTTTAATATATTAATTGTTTAATGTTGGGGGTTAACTTTGTTTATTTATGATTTATCTGCTGTTTTATTCCCTAAAGATTTGTATTCAAAAAGACCTTTACTTGGAGAACTTGCCAGTAACAAATGGCTACTATCAGTTCCCTTTAATCTGCCTTAGTCTTTTTAAACTTTTAGGGTTTTTTTCCCTTTAATTATGAAAGAAGTATATTTTTAATCATAGAAAGTTAGAAAAATACAGACTGGGTACAGTGGCTCATGCCATAATTCTAGCATTCTGGGAGGCTGAGGCAGGCTGATTGCTTGAGTTCAGGAGTTTGAAACCAGCCTGAGTAAGAGCAACACCCTGTCTCTACTAAAAAATTAAATTAGCCAGGCATAGTGGTGGGCATCTGTAGTCCCAGCTACTTGGGAGGCTGAGGCAAGACGATGGCTCAAGCTCAATATTTTATGGTTGCTGGGACCTAGGCTGATGCCACAGCACTCTATCCGGGGTGACAGAATAATACTCTGTATCAAAAAAAAATTTTTAAAAAGGAAAGAGGGCCCCGCCTGTGGCTCAGTGGGTAGGGCGCTGGCCCCATATACTGAGGGTGATAGGTTCAAACCCAGCCCCCACCAAACTGCAACAAAAAAATAGCCGGGCGTTGTGGTGGGCACCCATAGTCCCAGCTACTTGGAGGCTGAGTCAAGAGAATCGCCTAAGCCTAGGAGTTGGAAGTTACTGTAAGCTGTGACGCCATGGCATTATACCGAGGGTGATACAGTGAGACTGTCTCTAAAAAAAACAGGAAAGAAAGAAAAATGTAGAAAAGCAGAAAGAAGAGAAACTCTAAGGGACCATTAGTGTTAGTATTTTCATGTATTTCCTTCTCATCTTTCTTTTAAAAAGTGCAGTAGTGCAGCCTCATCTACTCGTAAGGGCCAGAGCCTAGGTATAGACCTGCTACTGGGAGTAGATGACAGTAATGTCAGGTGCATTACATGCATTCTGTTAACCTCAGATTAATCCTGAGAGCTCAGGATTATTTCCATTTTAGAGCTGAGGAAACTGACCCTTTGAGAAAATAAGTGTCTCACGTCTCCCAGCTGGTGTGGCATAACCAAGATTAGAAGTGTTTCCTGTCCCAGCCCTGCTTTCACCCTGTAATGGTAGACTCAATTCTTGGCAGCGAACTTGGTGGTAGAGACTATACAGCTCCAGAGCTGGAAATATTTACAATCTGGTCCTTTACAAAAAAGTATACCAACCCATGGTCTTGAAGTCTTTATTTATGTGCTTTTAGCTTTATATGTTAGTGGTTGGATGGGGTGTTTAACTTCAGCTAGGGAGCTAAAATAAACCTTTAATAATTATAAGTTATATTAGTATAGACTTTTGTCACCTAAAGATTGGTGGGTGTGGCAATATGTACTGCGTAGACACTTTTAAAAAATTAATACTTTATATCACATTTTAGACTGTGACAAAAAGCATGGAGTCTCTTGTTTGTGCAGATTGGATTCGTCACAAATTCACCAAGTCAAGAATTCCAGATAAAGTAAGAACAAAGTTTTTCCCTTTTTTTTGGTATTTTTTTTTTTAAAAAACAAAACATATTTTTAAAGGTACCTATTACTGTAATATTAAAAGCTTTTATGTTCAGTTACATGTGGATGTAGGTAGTGGTGCACATTTTAAAACACAGTAGGATTTATGTAAATAATATTATTAAAAGTAAAATATGCCATTGGGTGTCATAGTAGTGGATTTTTATGATTTCAGAGTCTGTTTATTCCTGCTTATGGTTTTTGTTTTTTCTGTGTGTGTTTGTATGACCATTGTCCTGAGAAAACAGTAGGTCTTCCTATTGGTAAAGGCTATCACTCTGTGACTCCTCACTTTGAGTATTGTTCATCGCTACTTTCGAGTTTTCAGCTTTTTCTGTTAGATTTGTGTGTACCTATCATTCTTTTAGCAAACAGTGGCTATACCC